AGAAGCACTGAATATTAATAGGTTAATTGTATGGATGTGAGAGTTGGACTGTGAAGAAAGCTCAGTGCAGAAGAATTGATGCTTTTGAACTGTGGTGTTGGAGAAGACTCTTGAGAGTCCCTTGGACAGCAAGGAGATCCAACCAGTCCATCCTAAAGGAGATCAGTCCTGGATGTTCACTGGAAGGACTGATGCTGAAGCTGAAACTCCAATACTTTGGCCACCTGATTCGAAGAGTTGACTCATTGGAAAAGACCCTGATGCTGGGAGGGATTGGGGGCAGGAGGAGAAAGGGACGACAGAGGATGAGATGGCTGGGTGGTATCACCAACTCGATGGACATGGGTTTGAGTAAACTCCAGGAGTTGGTGATGGACAGGGAGGCCTGGCGTGCTGCGATTCACGGGATCGCAAAGAGCTGGACACAACTGAGTGACTGAACTGAACTGAATCCTATTAGTATCTTCTAGGGACATAAAAAGAATTGGATCAGCATCTTCCCTAATGCCAGATATTTATCAGAAACTCTAAGTCGTGCCCTACCCAGACAATCTTCTAAATTATATTCACCACTAAGTTAGAGTATAAGCTGTCAAAAAAAAAAAAAAAAAACCCTTATGCAGAAACTTAAAAAGTCTCTAGTGATTTGCCATTCTCCCCTAAATGCCTAATACATATGACATTTAGTTAGGTTTCATTTTGCTCATGAACCACATATTTTAGTCTATTTTCTTCCTATGAGGAGAATAGTATTCATAAGGAATAGTAATTTTCATAAGTTTTTCCTTTGACAGAAATACAAAAACTACCAAAGAAAATTTAAATTCAGAAACAGGTAAGATATTTGGACTTTATATATGTAAATATATGTAAACTACTAGCAGTATTAATTAACACAGATTCTCTACAACACCTAACACTTTGTGTACAGAAAAATCATTTAGGAATTGGCTACCAATACAGATTTTAGAGTAGTCTGATTTGGTAGAATTAAGGTTGACTGAGTTTTTAACAAGCATCCCAGTTGGTTCTGATGTGAACGGTTTTGAAACATTCCAGGGATTTCAAGATTGCAGGAAGCCAAGCTCATGTCTGAACCTCCTTTTGAGTCTAAATCAATACATTAAACACAGTGGGTGGTAAATACATGCACATTACCACAAAAGGTAACAAATAGAGAAATTCAGCTCATCAGATCAGAGCTGTAAGTCAGAGCTGGATCTTGTTTATATCATAAATTACTGTCCTCCAGAATTAGGAGCCACATGTAGTATAAAAGCAACTCACTGTAGGCTTTTGTTGTTCCTTTTAGAGAGAGTTATAAAATATGCTGACCATATACTTTTAAAATTAAAAACATGCGGAACCAGCTATAGTTGACCTAAAGTGGGGTAAACGAGAATTATTCTTTTGGTCAACAATAACAATCAGAGAAATAATTCCGAGGCTCACATAAAATAAAAGTGAAATCTGTCCCTGATTACTCCTGATGTTAAGACTGTAATTTCCTCATCCCACAGGAATTAACTGTGGACAAGTTAAACATGTATGGCATTATCTAATTACTCATAATTCACTGAGAACTGAGATGTTGTCATCCTCACTTCTTTTGGTGAGGGAGACCAATATGATTGATTTCTGGAGTTGTAAGCTTTCTGTGAGTCTAGGAAGCATAATATATGTATATATATATATAGACATATATATAATAAGTACACGCAAAATGTTTTCTTTCAAATGGTCCACAAACCTGTAAAAGGAGTCTTGGATTAGTACTTAATGACTGTATGATCTTGAACAATTTATTCAGTCCCTTGGAGGCTCAGTTTTCTCAGCTGTAAAATGGGAACCCAGGTTGATATGGGCCCAGGCTCTTTCCACTCAGCCATGATGCTCCAACACCACAGTCCCTAACTGAGGTTTATGTGGAAGGATCACAAGAGATAATTTTCATAAAAGTGCTCTGTAAACTGTAAAGCACTACACAGGTGAAGCAGATTATTAGCCTTTTATGAAGCCCAGCTATTAAGATGCAAAGTGACCCAGAAAAAGAAAACAGTGTACACAAACCTGAAATACAACATCTACAGTGCCTAGAACATTAGGCTGCTCAAGGCGGGCAGATGCTTAATAAGTACTGAGTGAGTAAAGAAAAAACACAAAACACAGGTTTGTGTCTCCAGCATACTAGGTATGACACCAATAAGGAATAAATATACCAAAAATCAAAGACAGTTTGATTCAACCATATAAACCACAATGCCCCAAGAGTCTAAGATCTTAAAATAAAAATTACTTGATATGAAAGAGCATTAAAATGTAAAATATGACCCACCATTTACAAAGAAATGGCCATGGTCTTACCTCTTCAGTATTTCAGACGCAGCCTTTCAGGGATTGCAGAATCTGGGTGAGGTGGCTTAATTTTTTTCCTATATGTGATAGATCTGCATAATCATCCTAGCAACCTTTAAAAGAAATAACAAATTCTATAGAATGTTGGTTAGCTAAGCTGTTTGAATCTGGGAGGCTGATTTTTAGTGACACCCAGATTTTAAAGAAACCATATTTATCCCCTAAACTCCCTTCCTTTACACACAAAAAAGGAAATTGGGTAGGGATGGGGGGTGAGGAAGAAGGGAAGTTATTTGCTTCATAAAACAATTCTCTATACGAGACCTTTGTCAGTTTTCTAGAACATGTAAAATGTGATCTAAGTATAAATATTCAAATTACATTACATACAACTTTTGACATAGATAGTTATTTGTGGAATTAGGCAAACCCAAACTGGGAAACAACAAACTGAAAAATACATGGGGAAAAATGTTTTCTTCTGGGTGGGCCTTAATTGCCTTTTTTTCCTCATTGCAAATGTATTTTTATGTTGGGTAACATTTCCAAAAACAGGGGTGTTTTTTCTATTGTTGAAATGAAACAAACAAGTTCGCTTTTAGAGCCACAAAAATGCCCAACTGTTAGGAAAAACAAAAAACAAAAAACGTTTTCCACTGGCCGCCTGCCTCTTCTATCCCCATGCAATCTTTCCCACTGGCCCCTTTCTCTAGGAGTGCCCCTGAGGCTGCCTGATGGAACTGATTGTAAAACCATTTTGTGCAGTGAGAACTATTTAATAGTTTCTTCAAAATCACTCAGACCACACAGAATATGCCCAACCCTTGGAGAAGGGTGCGTGTTTCCTCAGTATTGGATGAGCTGTACACAAACTGACCCAGGTTTCTGGGTTTAAATAAGAGATGGAGTATTTTAAAACAGGAAGAGGAAGAAACTCTCTTCTCTCACCGAAAATTTATTCAAAATTCATTTAACCTGTGTTTTGGGAGATAGGTTACAATCAAACTAAACCCTCCAAAACGAGAAAAGCAAGTGTTGAGGAAGTAAGCATCACTCCATGAAAACCTGTCATTCCCACCGAAAACCTTCTCAGCATGGGAACTGTCGCGTGTGCTGCCCCCTTGGCCGGGAATCACGGAGCAGGGTCCGCGAAGGCAAAGGGAGGCAGAGGCTCCTTGAGAACCGGCCCTTTGTCTTAACCTTCTGTGTTCCTCTCCTCACTGCCTACTTCTCTCACATACTAGGTGCTCAATAAATGTGGGACTCAGGAAGCGAAAAATCCACATCTGCCCCCAATCCCCAAGGACGAATGACAGGGAACGCAGGTTTCCTCAGAATCACCGTCTCCTCAGTTAAACTGAGGCCACCTGACCTCCGCCGTTACGGCCCCAGCAGCAGGAGAGCAACCAAGAAGGTGAGCTGCTGGAGCCAAGATGGAGAAGAAACGGGTGAGGCAGGGAGGCGGCGCCGGCCCGCAGCTAGTGGACCCACCTGACGGCGGCGCGAGCCGCCCAGCCCGGCGCTCCCACTGACCAGAGGGCGGGAGCCGCCTGCGCGTGGGGCGGGGGCGGAGGCGGGGGCGGGGAGGGGCGCCGCGGCGCGAGCCCGGCCCCCGGCCCCGCCCCCGCTGGGCCTGCACAAGCCCACCTCAGAGAGCCTCGGGCCTTGCGGGGAGTTGGGGGAGGGGAGGCCGCGCCACGCGCGCGCCGCCGCTAGTTGACGCGGGCCCCGACGCGCGCGCCTCCCCCGCCCCCCGCCCCTCCCCGTCCCGGGGGCCCGGCGCGCGGCCCTGCTGACGTCAGCGGGCGGCTGGCGGTGCGGGGTGCGCAGAGCCGCTGGCGCACTCGCGCGCTGCGCTCGCCTGTTCCCCCCGCCCGGGCTGTGCGCGCGCGCTCTCTCTCTCTCTCCCTTCATTTTTTTTCTCCCCTCCCTCCCAGCCTCTCTCCTCTCTCTCCCCCTCGAGCTCCCGGCCGCCCGCGGCTCCCTCTCGCTCTCCCTCTCTCTCCGGTAGGCTCCGTCGGGCGATGCGAGCTCTGGGAGACAGCGACGCCGCCTCCCCCTAGAGACCTGCCCCCCGGCCCGGCCCCTTGCCCAGCCCTGCCCAGCGCGCGGGGGTCGGCGAAGGCGCCGCGGACGCACCAACGGCGGAGGATCCGCGATGCAAATGCACTAGCGGCACCCCCTAACTCACTCCCTCCACACCCCGCGCCGCCTCCTCCTCCGGCAGCAGCGGTAGAAGGACCCACCCTGCCCCCCTACCCCACCCTCCGCCGACTCCGGCTCCTGCCTCGACTATTATTTTATTTATTTTGGGTCGTGCACAAGCCTCAGTGCCTGCAGCCCGCGCCTCCTCGGATCGCGGGCGCCTCCTCCCTCGGCTCCGGAGCCCCAGACCCCGGCCACCTTCGCCTCGACACCCCCAGAGCCCCGCCAGCTGCCGCGAGTCTCCGCGGCTGGGAGCTTGTTAGAGGCTGTCTTTTTCGGGGGTTCTGGTTTCTCGACATTTTTGTTTTCAGCCAAGGGGAAGCTATCGTGATTTTTTCTCCTTTGAGCCCAGGTTCTGCTCTTTGGGGGGGTGGGGGGCGCGCCGAGCCGGGGAGCCGTGCCAGCCGAGTCGTGCGGGCTGTGGCAGGGAAGGGGCCACCATGGGATGTACTCTGAGCGCAGAGGAGCGAGCCGCCCTCGAGCGGAGCAAGGCGATTGAGAAAAACCTCAAAGAGGATGGCATCAGCGCCGCCAAAGACGTGAAATTACTCCTGCTGGGTAAGGACCGGGGCTGCCACCCCAATCCCTCGACCCCGGCCACTCTGCACCCCCCAACCAGCCCCCTGACCCCGCTCGCTCCTGGGGAGGCCAGGCCCGCGAGTTGGCACCACGATGTGCCCACGATCGCCCACTCTTTAGCATGCCTTACCCCCTTCCCCCTGCAGCGCCCCCCCCCCCCGGTTCCCCTAAGCTGACACTCACCAATTTTACCCCCTGTCTGTCCCAACAGGGGCTGGAGAATCAGGAAAAAGCACCATTGTGAAGCAGATGAAGTAAGTCCCTGTGGCATTGGGATTTGTACTTTTATTAAGCGTAATTTTAAAATGAATTTTATTACCTTGTTCACTTCACATCACTCTCCAGGCCCGGTTTTTAATTCGTACACACACACACGCGCGTCCCTGAATTTGACTCCCCTCTCCCAGGCCCTGCGTTGGTTCTGGGTCCTCCACCCCAACTCCCGGGGTGGGTTTTTTTTTTTTCTCCCCAAGGGGGTGGAGGAAAGGGGAGCGCCTGTAGTTGTATGAATGACAGTGTCCGCCATATTGATCAGAACATCACATTATTGGCATGATTATGGTCATTACTCTTGTTTGTGGGATGTTTCCTGTGTATCGCTGCCTCCATTTGTGTCTCTGTGTCTCTGTTTCATTCTGCATCTCTCTCTCTCTCTCTCTCCTTACACCCCTCTCCCCCTACTCCACATCCATAATCCCATTTACCCCTGCTCTTCTCCTGGGGCAGTGATTTTTGAACTTGGCAAAAACATGGAGGGGGGACCCAGCCTTAGGCTGGGGTGGAGTATCAGGTGTCTGCTGTTCATGGATTTGGTGCTGAATTAGAGGCTGTGGTCTCTGCCCCCTCCCCTCAAAAAGACTAAGGTTGGGGGAAGGGGCGTGTGGTAGGGGCAGGGGTGGCCTTCCAATCGAATGATACTGGCACAGATATATCCAAGGTAGAGGTGGAAGGTAGGACGCTGGATGTGAGGCTGAATGCCCGCCCCTTGCTGCCCCTTTCTTCTCCCCCACCCTCCCAGCCTTTGCTCTCCTGACACTGGCAATTTTCGTTCATTCTCTGGTCTTTATGATTGTAGTTATTTACACTCTGCATAGGCTGTGTTCCATGTAATCTACCCACAATGCGGATTTCAGGCCCCACTTGCCGCACCACCCCCTTCTGCCTTAGATATCAGTTTCCCCTCCTAATTAACTGGGGGTGGATTTGAGTGATGGTTGAAAATTAAAACAAAATGGGATATTCCTTCCCTTTCACACTTGCTCAGTAAGGAACCTCGCCCCTCCTTGCTACTTCCAGGCTTGCTTCTTGCCCCATCCACTCCTGGTTAGCAGTTCCTGGTGAGCCCACAGGCAGCTTTGCTTGGGGAGGGGGTGGCTTTAGGAAAAGGGTGCACGCCTCGGGCCTCCTGGCCCTGCTGCTTCCGTTGTCTTGTCAGTTGTGGACGGAGGAGTTAAGACCGTTTAGCGAGGATTCCACGTCGCTTTGCTGTGACACCTTCGTGCACACACAGCTCCTAATTAGGGGTTGCTGTGCAGTAAACAAAAATGATTATTTTTCAACTTGACAGAATAGCCGAAGTAATTGCATCCCGTAGGAAAACAATGGAAAATAAAAACCCTTTCGCAGAAAGGTGGGTGGGAGACGAAGCATGCTTGCGATTTCAAAACCAATATGCAAAAAAATCTTGCATGTGTAACAGGCATGACAAGCGGGTTCTAGGCGGCGCCATGATGGTAGGGAGTAGCGACTCGGAGACAATTTCTCCCGTCGGCTTGACATGTTCTTATTTTTGTTCTAGAGCTCCCTGGGGCTTTCTTTGCAGAGGTCCCTCGGCTTGCCGCACCCCACTGAGCCACGGGGTAATTTGGCCTGGGGCTTCTTTGGAGCTTGTGCAACCCAAATGGATGGGGAGGCGGGGCCTGGGGAATTGCTCTTTGCAACAAGGTGCATATTGCATCTGCCAGGAGCTCTTGCAGGTCGGTAAATGCAAGCAGCACCACACTTTTCTCCCAGCGGGGGACGTTTCAAAACTTCAGAACTCTGTAATCTGCAGTGGCCGGCTTGAAGCCGGGTAGAAGCCCCAGCCACCGGAGCGGGGTGAGGTTTCAGGCGCTGCGAGTGGTGGACAGCGCCCAGCCGAGGCCGGAAAAGTCGATGAGGCTCAGCTCGGCGGCGCTCGGCTCGGCTCGGCGCAGTCTGGGCGCGGGGCTCGGAGGGACTCGGCAGTGTTCGGAACCGAACCGGGGCCCTGGCGGAGAGAGCCGAGCTTTTTCGACGAGGGGACCGAAGGCTTTCGGAAGCACTCGGGTGAAGGGAGCGGGGATGAAATGCGGGGTAGGCTCCAGTCTGGAAATAAACTTTGCATCTGCCAAAGCAACTCCTTACCTGCTTTTCCTGAACAAGCCCCATAAACTAGGCTGATTTAATAAGAAGTGTAAAAATACATACCGAGTCCCCTGAAGGGTACCTTTCCTTTTTTATTCAAAGAGAGCCACGCTTTCCAAGGAGATAGGTGTGCCATTTTAGAATGAAAATTCCTAATTGTGTAACGAAGGCTGTACTTAGACTTCCCCGGAAAAGTCTTAAGGAACTTATAGTTGGTTACACTGAGGAGGGAGAGAAAAAAAATTTTTAAAAATCAAGCGTTAAGTGTTTCGGATGGTTAAATCAGACGACCCGGCAGTTTTTCTCTTTTCCCTGCACTCCCCCGGCCCCCCGCCCCATCACCCCACAGGACGCCTTTTTGGAGAAAGATATCAGACAAAGTTGAGATTTTTGTAGGTAAAACTGTGAGTATATTTTCTAAAATACATCAGTTCTGTCTAGAAAGTGAGCTGAGTTTGCTCACAAAAGGTCAGTCAGAAAGATTTCTGGCCCATGTAAATTTTGCAGCTAGGGTCCCTGTGTCCTGTCCTGCTGAAGCATTCATGAATGGCTGCTCTTCCTATGAATCCTCCAGCTCGGCTTAAAATAAATCAGATCAGGGCCTTGTGCCAAGCTGGATGCAGAACTTGTTTTATTAACCACAAAATGTGGGATTGGTGTCACTGTATCCTAGTGACAAATTCCTGTGAGTCCTCCCTCGAAGAGGTGATTTTCCAGATCACCACTTGGCTGAGCATCAGTTGAGTCAGGAGAACTGTACTGTTCTCTGGGTGGGGCTGGCCCTGAAAATCTAGGTGGCGTTTACAGAACGCAATTTTGGACTTGCCTGGACAACACAGTGGGTGACCAACCTATCAGACCATACTTAGGAGTTAATCAGGATGCTGTTTTATTTCACCTGGGCAAATGCAATTAGCAAGTTCTCTGTGGGTGATGTCCTGTGAGAACTTGATGACTTCCTAACAGGGACTAGGGTTTAATGGCTCAGCCTTTTGCATTGAGAAGAAGAGTATTGATAGGGAAACATCTCTAGATCCTTTGAAGTCAGCATTTCCAAAAGAGCAGAGAGCCACTCCGTTCGGCCTACCTTCTTATCCATGTTATGGCATGCTGATTATAAGAAGGACGAGACTTTCATGTATGCCCCTACTAACTGAAATTATATGGAAAAGCCTGGCTGGCAGATGCTGCTTAGAGCAAAGTGTTAACACCCGTATCAGCCTAGGATATCAGTGCAGGGACACTGATCTTTGGAATTCTTTTGCCTGACACATCTTGCAGTGGGAAATGTGCATCTACCAAGAGATGCCACAGGTTAGATTGTCAATGAAAACCCTGATTCCTAATGCTTTCTTAAAATTTTCATTTGAACATAGCTTGCTAGGTACCCCCCCCCCCCCCGCCCCCGCCCGCCCCTTTCATGTGTGGGCTTCTCTGGTAACTCGGCTGGTAAAGAATCCGCCTGCAATGCAAGAGACCCGAGTTTGATTCCTGGGTCAGGAAGATCCCCTGGAGAAGGGATCGGCTCCCCGCTCCAGTATTCTTGAACTTCCCTGGTGGCTCAGATGGTAAAGAATCTGCCTGCAGTGTGGGATACCTGGGTTTGATCCCTGGGTTGGGAAGATCCCCTGGAGAAGGATATAGCAATCCACTCCAGTATTCTTGCCTGGAGGATCCCCGTGGACAGAGGAGCCTGGCAGGCTGCTGTCCATGGGGTCACAAAGAGTTAAGCGGGACTGAGCAACTAAGCACCGCAGGACACATGTGATTGTGAACTAGTGTTTGGTAGTTCTCTGTCAGATAATCCAGACATTTCCGTCCTGAGAAATAAGCAGTGATCATTGAGACAGCAAAGTATAATTTTACACATACCATGAGTAATCAGTGACACTTGTGTGTGCAGCATTTTAAATAATTTTGCTTGTTAGAAGGTCATGACCTTACCTGTGATACAGCCTCGGCATTTTTGCAGTCAGGGGACTTTTATTGAGGCTAATCAAAGTTTTAACAGTAAGTGTTAACTTTAGTTAGTCACCAAACCCTCCCAAAGAACTCTCTCAGGGCATTATATGTGGAATCAACATAATCCCTTTAAGCGACTTCCCATTCTGAACAAATAGTGACAACAATTTGGACTGTCTACCTGATGAAAATGTAAAATGAACCATGAAGTTGCTGCGGGCACCACAGTTTGTCCTCATTTGAGGTGTTGAGTTTTCTTTGTTGTCTCCGGAGCATTTAGTGTATTTTTAGGGAGCTAGAGAGTCCAAAGGTGGCAATGAGGCATGGCTTGCTAGCTGGTAAGCTTTATGTAGATGGATGCAGTAAAGTGGAACACTTTGGATGTGTGTTCTTTTCCAAGGTGCTTGCTCAGTGCCATTAGGAAATCAAAACTTACGGATTTGCCTGGTAAAGACGTCATTGCTCATACAAATAGCCCAGCCCTTCCAGTTAGAAACAACAATTCTGAGGACAGACCCTACCAGACAGGGAAGGTGATTTTAAGATTGCCAAAAGCTGGTAGTTTCCTCCTACCAGCTGACTCTGACTTTGTGATTAGGGTGTTGATTGTTTGGCTTGGGTTCAGGGCAAGCCTGTGTTCATTCAACACACTGCTTTTTGGCACCTGCTAAGTGGCAGGCCTGAGTGGAGATGAGTAGCAACTTGGAACCATTACTCGGTAAAAGTACAGTGGTCTGGAAGGGCGTTTCCTGCACATCCCCAATGGGCCCCATGTTGAGGCAGCGTTCCCCTGAGAGCTGCTCTTCTAGATCTGTGGACTTGTTTCTGTAATCACCTCTGTGGCTGCTCTGCTTGCCCTCCCCTTCCTCCTGTCTCCATGTTTATCCAAATGGATGCACCTTGCTCT